TGAAACGCGGCCGGGATGGCAACCCTGCCGAGACTTGCAATTATCATGCATAATTAACTAGGGGGATGTCTCCCAGGTACCTATTTTCGTACGGACATACGTGGCCCTGCGTTTAAACAACGTGCATGAACTATTTTACCTCACTTTTCTTCTCTCTGTTGTTTTGAGGATTAATGCACTCGACTAGATTGTAAGACTTTCAGATATTACCAATGTTTATTGTACTATTCTCAAGGCAGACTAATTTAGAAATGCTGATTAATTATGATAAAACAATATATTTCATCAAAGGATTTATTGATACAAGATCGTTGATAACAAATAATTGTCCTCCTTCATCTTGGATCACTTCTTATTCCTGTCTGAGTTCGGTAGATATCTTTGTAATTTTATTTAAAATTCTATAATTTCTCAAAAAAGATTAAATCCCTCTTTGCTCAGTCGATACTAGAATAGGTGATAAAATGACAAAACCTTGCAGGTCTGTGCTTAAATATTCTCAGGCCCCACAACGAAACGTAAACGTTTTGGTTAAAAAAAAATTAATGTGTGTTTTGGTCATATCCGATCATGTTAAACATTTACAGTTATTCTTTTTATGTAAGGTCTTGGTTGAGATAAAAAAGCCTATCACGAGCGGGATTCGAACCCACGACCGGCTTAATACGTCACTGGTCTACCACTTGAGCTATCGTGACTTCGATCCTCTCAGACTCCAACTCTTCATCTCTATCTACAACCATTCAAATTTTCTCTTTTTTTTGCCATTTTCAAATGTCGTGTAATCAGGATTCGATTCTCAGCTGACATATGAATGTCCATATATGTCCAATCCAATGAAATGGCCACGAGGAACGGTTGTAGGTTGAGATGGAGAGTTGGTGTCCGTGAGGATCGAAGTCACGATAGCTCAAGTGGTAGAACAGCGGCGTATTTAGGGCCAAAGTTCGTGGGTTCGGATCCCGCTCGTGAAACTGGCTTTTTTATCTCAACCAAGACCTTGTATAAAAGGAATAATTAATTTAAAGAAGTAACTTTGTCAATTTATACTAAAACGTAAATGGATTTACAGTTATGTTGGTCGAAGTAAATGAATAATGAACATAATTTCATTTACGAAATTTACCATTATAGAACAAGTCGACAATGTAGGGATGTTCAAATTTATTATAAAATTATATAATTGTATAAAATTTTAACGCCTGTTACTGACATTGTGTAAGTGATAAAAATGAGATTCAATAATGATAAGTAAAGTGAGATTTCCTCATGAGGTTTGTGGGCTGATGTACCTTATTTGGGTTGTTTCTGATTCTCAGAGTTTTGATCGGTCAGATGAATTTCGGCTTCTTACCATCTTTTTCATTTTCTCTTTTTTTTTTTTTAAATACTTTATGTACTTTTACTTTACTTTACTCTTATATTTTTATGTACTTTCATTTTATTACTATTATTATTATTATTTTACTCAAGTGTTGGTAAGACCTATAACGTTGCGGGAGCGTATTTATGACGTTGGGGAATTAATATGCTTGTAAAAAAAATAAGTTAATATCTATTTAACATAAAAAAAGTTCTTATATTACAAACAAATAATAGAATCAATAAAATGTTATCAAAGGTTACTTATTATAAAGAAACTAAGGAGGAAAGAGAATATTTTCTTATCACTAAAATTTAGTTTATATAATTTATATATAAATTTATATAAAGTTATTTTTCGGTATCCTTTTCACTGGACAAGTATAGAGTAACGGACCTTGTTGAATGAGCACCACCCGACAAGAATTCTTCACAAACAGTGTTTTTGTCTTTGATTACGTCATACACTTTTATTTTTACATTCTCCTTTTTTTTTAAACGCTTTAGCCCTCCGCCGTCCTGCTCTTCTGCCTCCTCAATCGTTGGAATTCACTGCCTTATAGATTGTTCATGCCGCTTTGGCGGCCTTTATGAAATGGCTTGTCATAGACCATACAGTTAGTCAAGAACAGAATACAACAGCATATTGACAGTGTTAATAATAAACAAGTAACAACAGGGTTATCGCAACATGTTATAAACAAAACCATAATTTCAGGTTAGATGAGGTACAATTAATTGCAAGGGAGAATAACCCGAAAAAGGTAATTTGGCTAAAAAATGTATTTATTAACTTAGAAAAGAATAATTTTAATTTGTAATTAGATAAAGATAAAATAGGGAAACAATATGAAAATATCTTAGATTTATATATAAAAAAGAAAGACCAAATGGAAAAATAATGTAATAGTTGTTGGTCTGAAATTAGAGAAAAAAAGACCGGCTGATGTAATGATAAGAACCCAAAGGTCACAATGCACCATGGTGCATGTTTAAAGCATAACTTCCAGGTTTGAAATTTAACATCTAATTTCATATATAATTTAAAAACATTTATGTTATAATTTAACTTATTCATTTTTGATGATTTTTAATTGTTAATTTTTATTTATCCCTAAAGAATGGACAAGGAGTCCCGAAATATATGCCATGTCTAAAAACTAAATGGCTGTTAGTGTTTCCATGTTTTTAATTAGTCTGTCCACCAATAGAATGAACAACAACTCTAAGAAGAAAATACAGATACAACGATAATAGTATCATAAAAACGCTTACGATCTAATATCTAATTTTGGATTAGAAATTTTTAATATAAAATTAATACATAATTTTTGTTTAAATTTCCATTAAGGTCCAAAGTGATCTTGTAGTTTGATCGTTTCTAATCATGCTTCTCTCCAGCTCTTCGCTGTTTTGGCGTGCAGGATTTTGCAGCTTCTCGTCATTTTCAGTGATATGTTTTTAAAAATTGTAAATTATGACAATTCTGTAGCTGCCTTTTTCGTAGAATTTTTGTTTTCAATATTTTCGAAAAACCCTTAAGTCCCTTTTCCAAGCAATAAAACACAGCAAAGTCAAGCTTACCTCCCCTTCTTGTATGTTATGTACATAAATGTACAGGACTCGATAATAGAAAAAACACGTAGACCTAACAATGAAGATGGCGAGAAGCCGAAATTCATCTGAGCGATCAAAACAGCGGAAACAACCCAACTCACAGACCTCATGAGGATATTTCACTTTATTTGCCATTACTGAATCTTTTTCTCGTCACTTACACAATGTCAGTAACTGGTGTTAAATTTTATTCAATTAAATAATTTTATAATTAATTCGAACATCCCTACATTGTCGATTTGTTCTAAATGGCATAATTTGTAAATGGAATTATGTCTATTATTCATTTACATCGACCAACATAACTGTAATTGTTTAACATGCTCGGATACGACATGTTAATTTTTTAACCATGACGTTTAAGTTTTGTTGTGGGGCCTGAGAATATTTAAGCACAGATCTACAAGGTTTTGCCATTTTATCACCAATTCTAGTAATAAAAAAAACAACTACATGATTGCTATTCTTTCCATGTTTTTGGTGTTGTAGCTGTCTGAACACCAATTGATACTTATTATTTTTTAACTTTTTTTTCCGGTTTTATTTGAAAATAATAAGAAATTCATGAATTTTCTATTGGCAAGTTTGGAAAGGAAACAACTGGAAAATCACTGTACTATGTTCCTGCAATAGCAATTATTATGATGGCAAACAAAAGGCCTTTATACCGTCGTGATCGGGGCGTTGTTCCGCGAAGGGTTTGCCAGATGGTCTAAGGGATAATCCTCCAGGACAAACATACCGCCCACAGAGCTGCGGGGATCCTCAGTCCCTGAAAAGCCCTTTGTCATCGTCCTTTGTCGTAGGCCAATTACGCCGGGAAGCTATGTTTGCCGTCAAAACCGCCTAGATGTTTTTCAATAATTTCCCTCTGCTTTAAATTCGGCCCGGTTAAAAAGGGAGCCTCTATTTTTAGAGGGTGAGTCCGGATTGGTGGCGAGGGAGCCATTTTGTCTCTTGGTCCCTTTCTAGACCTTTAACCGACCATATCTCTCTCCCGCTCCCTCACCCTCTCGCTCGCTCTTCCCTTTGAAAGATCGATAGGGAACACATCCACTTATACTTTTTCGATTGTAAGGAAATAGGCTCCTAACGCGTTAAAGCCCGTTTCCAGCTACTAGGGGGGGTCAAAACATTTATTTTTATAAAACACTTTGGTGCTGTACGAATTATTAAATTTGATTAAAACATTAAAAAATTAAATAATCTCAATAATAGTAAATAAGAACAACGTAAAATAATATATCTTGGGTCATTTAGTTAAAGGTGTTCTAAATAAAGCCCATTATTTAATGAAAATAACAACCTAGCAAACTTCGTATTTAAAAATATCAATGAGATTTTAAGCATTGGTTAAATGTTTGATACTTATTTTGAATGGCATGCTTGTCTGAATCCTTTAAACGTGCCTCACTTTCAGTGTTTTGTTAAATATTTTCTAAACTTTTTGATTTTGTGCGGTAGGACACACTGATATTTGATGTTCCTACAGTTTTATTTTCCATTAAAACTATGCATTGAATGCAGATTTTATTGAGTTTTTAACATTAGCTTAATTAAGTTTCGTACATATTATTCTAATTAGAATTATTTTTGTAATTGTAGAGTTTCATAGTAACTCTATTCTCTTTTTGTATTTTGGTTTTATTTCACACTTCAGAAAATAAATACAGTTATTTTTTGTGACGAGAGTCTCTCCATGGTTTCTACTTGTATTTAATTTATAGTACAATAATATTAAAACTTTATAATTGTTTATCAACTTTATCATATATTTTTTCCATAATTATTTGTTCTAACCGAAAATCAATATGCGCCAGATGTGGGCTGGTAATGCCACAAGGTTTTGGACCGGTTCGACTCAGACTTCGACGTTTGACATCATGACGTCCAGCGGGGAATGACCACGTTAATAAATAAATAGAACAGGATTGTCACTATTGCGATCGGCTCCCTTGCGCCAAGCACAATGATTGTCAATGGTAATTATAGGTCGGCTATTGACAAAATCTGACACTTACCTATCTATAATCACCGGGTCAGAGGGTGTCTCGTTCCTGTTGCCGCAGCTTTTTTTATCACAACATCGGCTGAAACAAAGTAGAGATTATTCGTAACATTACGTTTATTTAATCAGCAGGTAAAAATTAGGAGTAGGTGGGAGACAAAATTTATAAGGTTTTGTGCAAACGGTCTATGTACATAAAATATAATTGTAATTATAAAAGTTCCTTCCCACTAAATCTCTGTTTTTATCTATCTCTGCCTCTCCCCTACCTCTCATCTTATCACTCTCTTTCTACTTCTCCCTCACTCATTCTCTCTTTCTACCTCTCTCTCAGTCTCTCTCTCTCTCTCTATATATATATTNTCTCTCTCTCTCTCTCTCTCTCTCTCTCTCTCTCTCTCTTTCTCTCACTCTCTCTCTCTCTCTAACTCTCACACTCACACTCACTCTCTCTCTCACACTCACACTCACACTCACACTCACTCTCTCTCACACTCACACTCACACTCACACTCACTCTCTCTCTCTCTCTCTCTCACTCTCTCTCTCTCTCTCTCTCTATCTATCTATCTATCTATCTATCTATTTATCTATCTATCTACCTCTCTCTCAGTCTCTATCTCTCTCCTACTTCTTTCGTCTTTCCCTTCCTCCCTCCCGCTCCGCTCTTTCTCTCTCTCTCTCTCCCCCTCTCTATCGCTCCCTCTCTATCTATCTATTTATTTATCTATTTATTTATCTATTTCTGTCTCCCTGTCTCTCTCTCCCCCTGTCTCTGTTTTTCTCTTTCTCCTAATAATTAAGTAAGCTTTTTCACTTTTTCATATTTCCGCTCTATATTTTTATTTAGCTTCCCTTATCTTGCTATTTATTCCATCTTTCTCTATCTATCTGTCTATATATAAATCATTCTCTCGATTTATCTATCTCTTTTGCTTGCTATTTGTTTAATATATACAAAATAGTAATGACAATTAATTATAAATAGTAATAATAATTAACGTAAATATAATAATTCACATGATTCTGATTTTTCGAAAGATAAGTAACTAGTTTGTCATAAAAACACATTAAAAAAAAAAAAAAAAACAGATATTTTTATTTATACTTGGAACAAATCTCAGTTAAAGAAATGACTGTCTTGTTAAAAGAAATGAGGTATAATTAAAAAACAGGAAAGCCCAGTACTTCCTGAGAACAAAATTAGACCAGAGACAAATTACGATATCTTCAGCTGCTTTTAATAAAATGAAAAAACCCGATTATTAGTAGACGCTCTCTTTGGAAACAGAACAGCATATAACAATTTGTCCGCCCGCTCTATATTTATATATAAAGAAAGGGGGACTCTAAGATGGGGTGGGACGTCCCCTGGGAGCAGAGGGGTGACTTCCAAAACTACAAGGCTAGTGCATTAGTTTTGAGTCCGTAAAGGCATTAACATATTGCTGCGGTCTCAAACTACGAGGGATGAGTCAATGTCTTGATATCCCTTAGGTAGTTTGACATAAAAGTGAGCGGAGAACCATCGGAAATGGGGTTGCAAATGGAATCATCGAGTATATGCAAAAGGGTATCACCCTTATTTTTTGTCGGCCTTATATCCAACCACTCTGTCCCCCCCTGGACACAAGATTTTTGCGTTATGTTGATTTTAGTTTATACATTTATTTGAAGCATTTTTTAAAAAAATTTTATTAAACCAGTCTACTGATTAAAGATTAAGAAAGGTTTAGAAGTGCATTAAGTGGAATTAAATATTAATAAAGATGGGAGAGGATCAAAAAGAATGAAAACAGATATAAAGATAGATAGATAAAAAATAATTAGATAAATAGATGGATTCGTAGAACAGTAGGTAGATAGGTAGATTGTTCAATATGATTGCAGGAGAGAAGCATGCAAAAATGTTCATTAAAGGATCATTACAGAAACTAACTGCAGACTTTGGAGACATACATATGTACACTGAACAGCAGAAATAAGTTTCTGCTGATATTGCCAGGAAGAAGAAAAAGAGCGGAACATGTACACTGTGGTGCGAAGGCCTATGCAGGTTGAAATTCCAATTCGTGGGACAGGAAAATACATGGTCTGAAGGATTCTTTTACCTTTTCTACCTCCTAAACAAAGCTTTGGAATTTGGTTTAAAGCCTTAAGCTTATTGAAGAGATATAGACATATAGCGAATGCACATTTGTCCAACACTGGTGGCGGTGGGAAAGGTCATAATAGGCCAACTGTTACCAACCTATCCCAGATCCCCTATAAAGAAAGAAATAGAGAGAGAGAGAGAGAGAGAGTGAAAAAGAGAGAGAGAGAGAGAGAGTGAGAGAGAGAAGTAGAAAGAGAGAATGCTAGGTGAAAGAGTAGAAGACAGAAGAAAGGAAGAGAGAAAAAATGTGGTACATAATGGTAGAGAGATGGTAATTGTGTGTTTAAAAAAGAGATCAAGAATGAGAGATTTTGCTTGAGAGAAAGAGAAATAGTGGACATACAAGAATGCTAAGTGAGAAACAAAGAGAGGACAAATTTGAAAAGTGGGAGATAACGTAAATGTGATTGAGTGAATGACCATGTGAGAAAGAGAGAATGAGTGATTTAGAGAGATAGTGAGTGAGAGAGAGAACGATGGAATAAAGAAAAGGAAGTTTAACAAAGCCAATAAAAAGAGAAAAAACAAAAAGTGGCAGAAATTGCGTGTGAGTGACTGTGTAGGAGGGAATTATTGGGAGAGTGAAAGGGAATCAGTAAGAGATGGTGAGATAGAGAGAAGAGAGAGTCATAATAATTGAAATAAATATAGGTAGATAGATACAAGTGAGAACCAAGAAGGAGAGATAGTAAAAACAAGAGACAGAGAGATATTGAAGCGTTATAATATTTATATTAGCACGAACAGTCTTGATATAAAGATTTGTTGAATAAGGTTTCTTCGTCAGACTTTTTTATTGGTACATTTCATCAACTTATCTCCACTTAATGGTCTTTCATAGTAGAATTTTCCGTAATGTTATATGTATGAAATGCTTTCACTTAGGATTGACAGTGGGTCTCAAAGGAGTCAGACGTTTCACTTAAAAGTTGAAAGGGTGCCGAGGATATTAAAAAGTTTGATTGACGGAAAACATTCATTAGCCCCTGCGGTCAAGTGAGCGGCCTGGGCCTATTATTCAAATCTCCGGATTTGCATTTCCCTGGACCCTTGAATTGACTACCTGGCTCGGTATGCGGGGGGAGGGGGAGTCGTTTCCATCTCAAATCATGGCATAACAAGGGACCTGCCACCCTCGCCCCAGGAGCTAGCTGACCGAGGATTGATTTAATCGAAACGTCCCACGGGTGTGAAATCTTCACCGTGGAAAGGGGAAAATTTTGAAATATAAAAATGTCACGGCGTGAAGGTCTAACGATTTCGCGATGGTGGACGATTTCTGGCCAAATGGAGCTACTTTGCTCTCTAGTTGTTATTGCTGATATATAAGTAATATTTAATACAAATATGTATTACAGAACTATGACCCAAATTGATGATTTTTTTTGCTTATTATTCTTTATATCGCGGTAGGAAAGAGACACCTGAATACCTATCATTTGGCTAACCATAGCAACATTTTTACTGTTATTCTTCTTATCCGTAATTTGTAAGGAACCACCCCCAACCTTTGCTAGTTGGTGTAGTTATCTATCATTGGATTACATATATAACATAAGAGATGGTTATTGTTTAATTTAATTATTATAGGTATATAAAATTATCAGAATATTTTGACATATTATTAACAGCCACTTCACACACATATACACACACACACTCCACACACACACACACACACACACACACACACACACTCACTATCTTTTACTCTTACTATCACAATTACTCGATATCCTTTTTTCTCTTCTCTTCATAACTAACTTGGCGTTCTATTTGGATTTATATAAGCTCAAATCCGCACATGTATGTACGTATATTTGCCTCATACTGGAACCAGGTGGAACTACAGTTTATCATGAACTCCAGGAGTTTGCTCAGACAGTTTGTCAGGGAGATCGGTCTGTAACTCGTCGTAGTAACTTGGTTTTGTCTATTTATCTATCTATCTAACTCTATATTTATCTATCTATGTTTTGCTATCCATCTCTATTTCTATTTATATATCTCTCCCAATTATTCTCTCATTCTTACACAGTTCCTAACACAATCACAATTACGCTACTTTTTTTTTTTTAATTTTTCCTTTCTTTGTTATTAACTTGGCACTTCTTCTCTCTTCTCCATCAGTCTTCTCTCTCCCTCTTTCTCTTTCTTTCTCTCCCTCTCTCTCTCTTTCTCTCTCTATCATTCATTTTCACATTCTCATACAGTCATTCTTACAATTACGCTAATCGCTCGTTTTGTCTGCTCATTATTACTTACATGCCTTCTCCCTTTCGCTTTCTTTCTTATATATCTGATTTTAGTTTTTCCTTTCGTTGTTATTAACTTGGCTTGTTTCTCTCTCCTCCATCAGTTTCTCTCTCTCTCTCTCTCACTCTCTCTCTCTCTCACTCTCACTCTCTCTCTCTCACTCTCTCTCTCTCTCTCTCTCTATCTTATCTTATCTTGTTGTTTTTTTCTCTTTATTTGTCTCACATTTTTCGTTTTTAACTATTCAAGCACAATCACCTTTTCTCATTCTCGCCGAGACACACTCATCATTTATTTCTCCTGTGTTTGTAAACTTTAAAATGTTTTCAATTTGACCTAATTTCATATAAAAACGGGTGTGAACAAACTGATATTCACTATGCAAGGCCAATCTTAACAGTATGAGGTATATAACTCAACATTGATGCACTTTTCTCAAAAACTATGAAATCAATTAAACTAAACTTTAATACTTATGTTTGTAAATTAATTATTAGTTAGGGGTTGAAAATTTTCTATGATAAGTTCTTTTAAATTAACAAACATTTCTTCCGAAATTTTTGAATTCTTTCCTATTTTATTTTTTCTTTATGATAAAACGTACATTCTAAAATTCTTAGCCATAACAATTCCAAAAAATCTACGTAATGATTCTAAAGTTTTTTTATTAATTATTATGATTATTATGATTTTATTGGTTGATTGGATTCAGGAAAAAGCTTTTATTCGTAAAATTGTGATTTGTCAGAAAAGGCAAAGTAAAGAAAAAATACGAATTCAATTTTAAGGAAAATCCATTAATATGACATTTCAATGTAATCGTGTGCATTCTTCGGTGATTCAAAGAAAAATAAATTAGTAACTATCAATTTCACTGTTTTCATTGTAGTTGTTTTCTTTTCAACTTGTGTTTTTTTTTTTCATTTTTGAGATGGGTCATCTAAAACGAATTTTCACAAAAGTCAAAAAAAGGCATTTACCACAACTCAGTGTCTTTAGCCAGAAAGCCTCCGAAAAGCACAGATATCAAGCTCCAAAGCCAAAAGGAAGTTGGAGTATATTATATGAGTATGTATACGAAGGTGGACAATCAACGTATTATATAACTCTGAAGCTTCTTTCAAGGCAATAAATGTTCATTTCAATATGGTTTAAAAATCAATTTAAATTGATGGGATTACTATTTCGAAAACACTGTTAGATGCAGAAAAGCATGTCTAAACTGTTAAGTTTTTGTCTTGTCATCCATTTAAATTAGTTAAAAATACTTAGTATTTTCTATTTTTGATCAATCAATTTTGCTTTAATATTTTTGAATTATTTTAATGTATAATTGTGAATTTATTTATTTATGTTTTTTAAGTTGGACCACATACATAGTAATCAAATGAAATGAAGGGGCGTACAGAACGTTTGTATATCATATTCATCCCTTACCTGCACATGACTTCGTGTGTGAGCAGAACCCTGCACATTTCCGGGTTTTTATCCTGCCCTTCATAGATAATCGCCTGGAAAACATAACAAACACTTAATTATCAACTCCAAAACATGAAAATAATTCTCTCTTAGAATATTTGTTAATGATTATTCGGAAATCGTGAGATGCGGACTGGTGTGATGAAGGTTTCAGAAAAACATTTTCACATCCTACATATATTTGTAAAATTTAAACAAAGTTTATAAATCCCAGGCCCTGAAGGTGATCTCAATAATGATCGAAACGTTGGCGCGATAAAGAAAATGTTATTCTGAAACGTACATCACACCAGTCCGCATCTCACGATTTCCGAATAATCATGGACTCCTCACGGTCACTAATCACCACATATTTGTTAATGGCCAATCAAGACCAACTCAGAAATGCCGATCTTGAACAAAAATGATTTAGAAACATCGCGAATCAAGATTTGGCATTTTTTTCCTGTTTGTTTACGCCGAGGAGCCGGAGTAGATTTCAAAGAGGATGCCAACCCAATGAGGAATCCGCTCTCGAGATCATTGAACAAGGGGGAAGAGCGCTCAACCAATAAACACCCCGGTAAATAAACAAGCCAACTCCAACCATTATTTATATACGAAGGCTCACAAATTTAGAAACCCCCCTCGCAAGTGTAAAACGGGAATAGAACAACTTAAATACCTTGTTTTATAACGGGCATCTTACACAGTCAGCAGTTTAAATGGTTTTTGTTTTGCTTCTTTTTTTAAGATAAAATCAGCCTAAACAAACAGTATGTATTCTGCTGATGATTAGTACGTGTTGAATACGTGATAAAATACTGGATAATGAGAAAAGTAATCTGAGCGAAAATAAATATGATCTAACAAAGAAACTCAAGATTAGTTAAGCAATTAATTATTAAAAATAGTTCGACTATGTCTGATATATCTGCAAGCATTAACCACTGAAGATGGCGAGAAAGTGAAACGATTCTGTCATGCCAAAACTGAGATGGGTGGACCACATGGTTGGAAATGTCTACCTGCCTTGGATCATCACCCCGTAGACCCCATGATTTACTATAACAATTTACCATAAGAAAGCTAAGAAATGTTTATTTTGACCATGTTGGATAAAGTAATAACCATTTAACCTTTTTTTTATTGAAAAAGGTTAACAAACAAAACAAAAGCTGTTAAAAATCAGCAAAGTTTTCAGGGGTACTGCTAAGTATCCAGGCTCTATTTACTATTTTTCATGCAGATTGATCTCTACTCGGAATAAATTTACTAGTGTGATAAAGGCGATTGGTGACAATTGTGAAGGTGTTTTGGTTAACTCGGTCTAACAGCCTGATCACCGACCCGGGTAATAATGGGCGGGCTAATGGGGAAAGTTGTGAGCAGAGAGGGACCAATGCTTCATCTCACCTGTTTACAAGTTTCCGTTATTAAGCCCAACAACACTGTACAATGCGCATAGATAACATCACTTTTATTTAGCACCGACCATTTTTTTTTGTCTAATTATGAACAACTCCATAGATAGAACCGATAGGTAAACAACCCCGTGTGTCAAAACAGCTACAGGTCTGATTAATGAAAACCCTTTGGCAAAGGTCATGTTCATGAATGAAGACAATCTCTCTGGTGACGTCATTAATTAGATTCCACCCCCCCCACCCCCCAAGTCTGATCCTTCGATAAGACCCATGGACGTTAAGTACCGTCCCGGTGGTTTCCTCCTCGACAAGCTATTGTACGATGAATGAATGACTAAATGTCACAGGCGTATTGACTTTGATCTTAAATTATTAATTCAATGGTAGAATAAATTACAAGAGTGGATGAAAAAGTATAGATAAAGTTAAATTTAAGAGAAAGGACAATTTAAAGATTTTCTTTTTTACCGTGAACATATATTATTAGCAAATCCATTACAGTTCGTGGTCCGTTGGACCAATTAACTTTTTTCATTAATTAATCTTTATGAATGGTATTGGTTGAGATAAAAAAGTCATTGTCACGAGCGGGATTCGAACCCACGACCTTCGGCTAAATACGCCGCTGCTCTACCACTTAAGCTATCGTGACTTTGATCCTTTCATAAAGATTAATTAATTAATTGGTCAATCGGACCACGAACTGTAATGGATTTAATAATTAAACTGACGTAAATCTTCACGAAAGCTCTCCGTGGCCATTTCATTTGTCGCCGAGAATCAAATAGATTACACGACACTTGAAATATGGCAAAAAGGAGGGAAAATTCGAGAGGTGAGGTTGAGATGGGAAGTTGGTGTCCGAGCGGATCGAAGTTGGTTTTATCAATCAAGTTGGTTTTGACTGTGTGGTTTACCGATTGTGTTCGTGGACTTCAGTGCTGTTTTAATGCCTAATTTGCCATATATGTGAATTTGTCCGTTTAGAGACCTTTTTTTTATGTGATTTTGTTTATTATTTTGATGATCATTTTATGGTGAAGCAGTTGTGTTATTGTTTTTAGTTCCTATTTCTATTTTGTCATCGGTGATGTTTTTAGCCTCGGTGTGATGTATTAGCTGCCATTTTATGGGTGTAGCCGGTATGATGTTGCCGATACTTGTTTTTCTGTAAATGTCGACTTGTTGGCTGTCAATATTAATTATCATTAAGGCAAATGAAGTTTATTCTTTTTTAGTTGTGTGACTTGTATGTTTGCATCTAAAGAGTTCATGTCTGTCAATATATGATTTATGATGTTGTTGTTGCTGACGTCTACCATGCTGAGTATGGCATGTAGTTACTTGGGAAAGGGTTACAAGAGTGAACGAAAAAGTATAGATATAGTTGAGTTTAAGAGAAAGCACAATTTAAAGATTTTTTTTACCGTGAACATGGTTATATCATTACAGAAAACTCAAAAATAAATGAAATTTTCACGTCTAGTGAAATCAGCGAAGACGAACCCCGGAATGTGCTCATGTACCTTAAAACCATGGCAATATCGAAGGAGCGCCTGCTTTTGGGGCAAAGCCCGCGCAGGTGCCCCTTATGGAGAGAAAGGTTGCTCGATGTGTCCCACATAAAAGAGGCGTGTCATGCCGTGGCTCCATACAGAGAGCGTGTAGGCATGCCGCCGGATCTAAGAAGAGTTCTCGAACACAGTAGCGAGATTCAGGGTCCCCTGTTCCGCGTTTTAGGGGAATTGGGAATTTTTTATTGTATATCGCCTTCAAAATGTGTTTTGTATGAGTGAGTGTATTTATTAGAGTGAATGGGGAGGGGCTGATGGTGGAATAGCATCCCCATCGCCCCTCGAACTGTGTACGTGACTTGAGTCGATGGCGGAATAGACGTAATATTTATAAAAGTACCCCATCGACCCCAATTACATTAGTATTATTGTATGCAGATCGATGGAGGAATATTCAGTCCTCCATCCACCAAATTGAATAAAATGTATATAGGTGAGAATGTATTTATTTGTATTGTATTGGATCTAGATGACAGTAGGAGAAAGAGATTTCTAGAGTAACCAGAGAAACCAGAGCCTCCAGAAACTTTGGACAGATAGGGCAATAGAGAAATCCTACAGTACAATATTTGCCTTTGTTCAATTATCTTATCTTTCTTGTTTTTACCGGTGAATATAAAACAAGATTGTTAAATATTCAAATTAATCCAAATATTTACTAACATTGGGAAGAAATTTGGACTAATGATGGTTAGATGAAGGTTTAAGATCCCCCAACGACATACAAATGGGCTTTTTTTTGTCAAAAGACCGGCACCCCGAAGATTCATACGACTTCAGAGCTGAAAAGAACCCCTTTTTTTGATGATTTTACTCCTGTCTGAGCGTTCTTGCCAATCAGACGTAGGAGCCGGGATAAAAATTATATAAAATAATTTTTTGAAATAGGTTTTCTGACTTTATTGTATATTTATTGAAATTTGTTTGTTTATGTAACATGAAAAAATAAGATGCACGATTGGATTAAATAGGATTACATACGGGTATAAACAGTAACAAAAACCAAAATACACTTCAGGTAATGTAGGCCAAAAAACCGTTTTTAAAAAATACAATTCCGATTTATTTTAAGCACCCTTTAAAGACCTCATTTCAAATTTTCATAGAAACAATAAATTAGATATTTTAGTCTGAATTCGCTGCCACAATTTTTTCTCTCTGATGCTCGGTGTTCCTCTTAATAATTGATAACTCCGCTGTATTTTATCTAAATTCACAGTTACGACAGCTGTTGAAAAACTGAATTTCTCTTCTTTTAGCCGATGTTAGCAATGTTAGAATTTACGTGTATATAAGAGAGATAAAAAAAGGATAAAATAAACGAAAACGCCTCAAATATGTTATTTTATGTCTCCGGTTCTATTTTTTCTCCACGGAAGGAATGTTAAACCCATTACAAGTGGGTTCTAAACCTAAGTAGATTGGAGAGTTTAATTTTCATACGGATTAGCGGAATCGTTTGAAATTATCTCATATTTGCGGTTTTTGAACAAAAAAAATCAGTTGTACTAATGGCAAAAAATTGGAGGATGTAATGAGAGTAGATGAATTTTAGTTTAAAAGTGTAATTAAACGACGAAAAAGAAAAATATCTTTAACTTTCCCAAAAATTTGTCTTACCGAAGGTTTCGAAATGGAAAACAATTATCAAAAAAATTATTTCAACTACTTTGCTAGGTAAGTTGAAAAGAGATTTATTGCAATAAATACTCACAACTATGGCTGCGTGGCAAATAGAATTTCGACGTGACCGATCCAGCCCAAAAATCTTTTTTTTTTATTGCTATAAAAATCTGCATCAAAGGCTTTAAAGGGATCTTAAAACAAACCTGAATAGTTGTATGAGAAAATCGGCTCTTAGGGTCTTAGGGTAATATCTGTCTACCTAATATCACCAAAAAATGTTTGATCGAATTTCTATACTATAGAAATTTAACTACACATCCGTGGCCTTCACTTGTAAGTAGCATTTTTAATAAACTGCAAAATTAGCATTGACTAGTGAAGAAATCGTACCCCCGAACATACTTCACTCGTATTAAGTTTTGTAAA